ACCCTCCCTCACTACTTTTATCTAAAATAGGACAGCCAGGGCTTCCCTGGTGGCGCAGTGGTTGAGAATCTGCCTGCTAATGCAGGAGACACGGGTTCGAGCCCTGGTCTGGGAGGATCCCACATGCCACGGAGAAACTAGGCCCGTGAGCCACAACTACTGAGCCTGCACTTCTGGAGCCTGTGCTCCGCAACAGGAGAGGCCACGACAGTGAGAGGCCCGCACACCACGATGAAGAGCGGCCCCCACTTGCCACAACAAGAGATAGCCCTTGCACAGAAACGAAGACCCAACACAGCAAAAATAAATTAATTAATTAATAAAACTCTTACCCCCAACATCTTAAAAATAAATTAATTAATTAAATTAAATTAAATAGGACAGCCACTCCCACCATCCTCTCTCAGCATCTTGTGTTTATAGCACATCCACGTAGCTTTACATGAACTCATTTTTTTTAATCTGTCAGGTCCACCAGATTGTAAACTCCATGAAAGTAGGAATAAATATTATTCCCATTAACTCCCAATGTCTAACAATTCCTGGCATTTTAGTGTCTATTAGGTGGTAATTAACATTTTTATTTCCCTAACGTGTCCTGTCTTCACACATACTGCACCCTCTATTGAGACTACCACCACTACTGCCACCACCACTGTCACTACCATGATCACCACAGCCATCACCATGGCTTCTACTCCCTCTGCCACCATTCTTACCCCTTTCACACCCTTACTCATCTCTTCTGTCTCAACTGAAACATCATCTTGATGAAGCATTCTTTCTTTGGAAGCCCTCCTTAGGAGACAGTCTCTCCTTCACTTATTCACCTATTCATCACGGGCTCCATCTCCACTATAGCAATGATCTTACTGTCCGACACTCAGGTTTCCTGGTGGGGAGGGGACTTGGAGGGAGTTGGTTTTGTTTTACACTCCTGTCTCACTACTACTTTGGAGAGCCTTAAAGCAAAATCTTTTCATTTTTGTGTCCCTAGTACTTAGCATACTACCGGGCACATAACACAGTACTGAAGACAGGTATACAGGATAATGCAGAATAAACACCACCACAAAGCCAAATCAGCTGCCCTGTCCTGTCTGTATGCCTTCATATCTTTGAGTGTGCTTCTCTCCAAGCCCATAAATGTCAGGTTTCTTCAAACTCACTTAGAATACTCCCTTCAATTACTTACAATCCACTTCCTGCCCTTGGTGCCTGGAAACTATTTCTAGGATGTCACCACAAGCAATATTAAACTGCCACCGTTTCCTGCTGTGTGTCTACATTATCAGTTAAATTGCTTCATATTAACCACATTCCAGTCCACTGGGATCACTCAAACACTAAAGATTTAAACGTACCTGTTGAAGACTGGCAGTTACCATTGCTCTTTTTATCCCTCTAGATAAATATCTGCTCAGGTTTAAGGTTTAGGAGCTTTCCAGAGTGCTACCTGCATACTGGTGACCTTTTCTTTCCTTTGTCAAGTAGATGTTTGGTCTGAGGCAAGACAAGTTTCCTTTATTAAAATGAACATGAACTAAACACTCTTCAGAAAAAATAAGCAACTGCTGCCTAGACCAGGGCAATTTGGCTTAAAAACTTAACACTTAAACACTCTTCCTCCTCAAGAGTTCAAATAGCAAACTGTTATTTTTTTAGCTCTATGTACATTCAACCCAGAGCCTTTAGTTAGAAACTTAATTCAGATCCTAACATATTTCTTAAAAGCATTCCATAAACTCTTCCTAAACAGCATTATGTGTCAGGTACTGGGTTTGACACAGGGAACTCAAAAGACAAGACAGTCCCTGCTCCCAAGAGGTTTATGTCGGGCTTAGTATAGGAGACACACAAGGAACTGGATTTAGTGCTATGACAGTGATAAACACAGGGAGCCACAGAAACAGACGAAGGACACCTGGCCTAGGTGGGGGGAGAGGGTCCACAGATGAAGGACACCTGGCCTAGGTGGGGGGGAGAGGGTGCACATATGAAGGACACCTGGCCTACGCTGGGGGGGGGGGGGGGTGGGGGTGGTCCACAGATGAAGGACACCTGGCCTAGGCTGAGGAGGGCTGGGGGCAGGGCACTGTCATCAGGGTAGGATTCCTCGGGATGGCATCTGATCTAAGGCCTATAAACCCCCATTCTCTCATTTGAAAAATGTAGCTAACAGCAGCTACATCATTGGACAGTTGTGAGGATTTGATAAAATGGTTCACATAAAGCACTACCACCATGCCTGACACAGAGATTGTGTTCAACCAGCCTTAGCTTAAAAGGAAAGTCTGAACAAGCACTGAACCTCAAACCTGTGCCTAGCAACTCACCTGCTTTACTACTGATCACATAACAGACACCAGCGTCACAATTACGCAGAGTACTGTTTTTAATCAATTTTTATGTTTTAATGAGAGAATATTGAGTCCTGCTCTGCATGTTCAGTCTAATTCCTGGATCATCAAAACCTTTTTCTCCATTACCTGAAACTCACAGTTCTCTGACATTTCTGGTATAAAATATAGCAGTTTTCTTAGTCTTTTGATAGAGGTGTAAAAGAAACTACAATTACCGACTTTTTAATATGGGCCCAGCAGTCATGTTGATACTGTGTTTATTGCGCATAATGACCCTGCAACATATAGTCTTCCCCATTTTACCCTCAGAGCAACTGAGGCAGAAAGAGGTATTTGTACAAGATCTGTACAAAGTTTCCGAGTCAGCAGACAAAAGAACCGGAATAGGAATCCAAATCTGACTCCACATTGTTAGCGTGACTGGACCACACAAGATCAGAGATGAGGAGAGAAAGCACAGGCGGCCAGAGCGCTCTCCTGCTCAGAGGGGCACCCCATGCTCTCCTCCCCCACCCCCAAGACTGTCCTACAAAATAGAGCCTGCACACTTAGACTACACCTCAGCCAGGTGAACACCTTGAGCTCAGTCTGTTCTTTCCTATCAGGATGGAACAGACAGTCAGTAGTAATCAAAGCCCTGTTTCCCCCCAAAATTAAGGCAGCGCCTAAGAAGATGGCTTCCTCACCACCTGTCCATCCTCATTCCTACCTGCAGGCAGAAGCTACATAGTCAACAGTCACCATAAATCACAACAACTTCTCAAAATTTCTCTTCATACTCTTTCAGCCTCACCACAAGCTAACATAATTCCCATGTCTAAGTTTTTATCACCGAGCAGTCTAGTTTCAAGATCAAAAAGGCTATTCCTTATACTAATTTGCTTAACAGAATTTCATGCATTAGTATAAGTTCTCTTGCCCAAGCGCTGAGATAGATGGGCTCCACAAAACACTCTTAAGGTATGTATTTGCCAACCTGCAACGTTCCAAGAGCAAGACAGAGACCCGATGCCTAGTCATCTGAACTTCCACTTGGATTTTCAAGCTGATTCTGACACTGACTTGCCTCATATCTGGCAAATTTCTGAACTTCTCTGTAACAAGAAAGGTAAGCATCCTCACAAGTATACTCTGCAACTCTATGGTGGCTTTTGTGAAGTGTTTCTAAGTGCTATTGAAATCCCAAGTTTACAACTCTTACTTGGAAGCAGGAGCTAAACTTGGAGTGCCTCTTTAATCCCAATGCTTCACACGCTACGTCTTTTTACCTCCCAAGCTTCTTAAGCTCTTATTTGGAGCATGCTTCTTTTTCCCCTCATTTCCACAAAAATCAAGAATTAACAGTGTACTCATCCAACTCTTCCATTTTCATTATCATAAGCAAACTTTTCTAGTCTCCGGGCTGCTGCAGCCTGTTAAAATACATTTTGTGAATGGAGGCCTAAGCCAGTCAGGGGTCTACAAGGCTGGGCAAAGGAAACACTGCATGGACATTGACGGGACAAGAGATGCAATGCTTGAATAATTATTAGATTTCACTCATAGGCCCTTCCCCTTTCAAACTTCCCTAGCATAATTCTCAAAATGCTGAAGTAAACACATGTCTCAGACTTTCTTGTAAGCGGGTTTAAAGTATCCTATGAAAGTTGTTTTAAGGAAAAGCCTGTGCTGCTAACAAGTTTTTAAGTGCCCGTTAAACAATTCTATTACTCAAAGAGAAAAAGTGAACATTTGTTAGTGATTAGAGATAAGGCATCTCATGTTCTGGAACTGAGGAAGGGAGAGGCCAAAAGAGGACCTGGCTGGGAGGGGAGATAGAGTCCAAACCAACACACCCAAATGGGACTGCATAGAAGTTGCACTTTCCAAAGTCAACTTCTAGGTCTAGAAAGAGGGCAACAATGTTTCAACGGGTTCCCAAGTCAGATGTATCAACATTTTCCGGGGGAAACTAACCCCTCACCAGGGACTTCAGATGAATGAATGAGTGAGGGAATTTGCCAGATTGAATTACAAAACCTTTCCAACGATTATCAAGATCAGGTGCTCGGTTACAGCACAGAGGTATCTTTCCTCACAGCTTTTGGCCCTCGCTGTGGGGAGACCTGCATAGATAGAAGGGGGAAACAGGAGCAGAGAGAAAAGGGCCTTCCTCCCCGGGCCATCCAGACCTTCAGTCCTTGAGTGGCCCCTCCCTCTGAAAATCTCACGCGACTTTTATGGGGGCCCGCAGGCCTTAAGCAGCCAGGACCTGCCCGACTCTCAGGGGCGCCCCAAACACCCATTTGGGGAGTTGCTTCTAGAGATTTCTCGCCCTCCCCCCAACAGTTGTGTGACCGTTTTCAGAGGCTCTCTGTAACCCCGGGGAGGGGGCCACCTTGGAATCTCGGCTGTTCCCGTCCTCAGGTGAGGAGGGGACAGCTGACCACCAGCGCCCTTCCACCCCGCCCCCGCGCCTCCCTGGATCGTCATGGCAACCGTCCCCCTCCCCGCGTGCCGGCGTCACGCGGGGAGCCCCTTGGGCCCCGGCAACAAGTCCCCCGCGCGGCCCGAGGCCTGCAGCCCTTGCCCTGCAGCCCTTGCCCGGCCTCGCCGCCCCTCGCCCGGCCCGGCTCCGCCCAGCCCGGCCGCACTCACTTGATCCTGGAGCCCATGGTCCCCGGGCCTCCTCATGGGCCCGCGGGCCCCGCTCGGCGCTGCGCTGCCCGCCCGCGGCCGACCGGCCTCCCTCCGGCGCTCTCCCCGCCCCTTCCTCCCTTCCCTCAGGCTGGGGCCCGCCCGCTCGAGGCTCACTCCCCCGCCGCCGCCGCCGCCGCCGCCGCCGCCGCCGCTTCTCGGGGTTAATGCACTCGCTTCAGCCCGGCGAACGCCATGGTCGCCGGCGCGCGTGCCCGGCGCGCGCCGCCCCCTCCGCCTCTCACACCGCCGCCCCCTCCCGCCCGCACCGCCGCCGCCCGTGGGGGCTGCCGGGAAGTGTAGTCCGCTCGCGGGAGGCAGTGCCGCGTGAGGGCGGTGGACTCATGGAGCTCGGTGCGTGGTGCTTAACGGGCGCAGGCCCCTAAAGACCTCCTCTCCCACTGTTCTCCTATAGAAACCAACACCTACAACCCCTCTGAAAAGATCTTCATCCCACAGAGACCCCCAAGGTCACCTGAAAAAACCTTTACCCATTCCTCTCCTGTGGAGTCCTTCCAGCCAGTGGCTCTGGCTTAGAGATAATCTGTCTCCCATTCAGGCCTCCAGGAAGACACAACTTTTTCCTTTGAAAATCCCATAGCTTGCAGTAAGTTCCTTAAGGGAGCCATAGCCCCTCTTCTCTGTCACACCAGCCACTTCCCCAACATGGTTCTTGATGGAGACCCCCTTAGACCTTAAATGTCTTAGACCTTTAAGGAGACCTCACATCCCCACAGGAAAGCCACCTGAGGGCTTCATAGGACCCATTTAGTCGCTCTGCTCTGCCCTACCCTTGAGGATCTCTGCCTCCCTTTGTTAGCCATTTGGGGGCCTCCAGTAGAGAAATCTCATGTCACCATAACAGTCCCTGATAGAGACTAAGTCAAGGCAAATGAAGGTACTTGAGAGCCAAGATCACCAACCTGCTCCCCCTTGGGGCTCATTTTAATGAATGCCCCAATATCATCCCCTCTAGGCCTGGAGGAATCACAAAGCCAGCAGTAATGATCACTACCATTAGCTACTGTTCAGTGCATGGGTGAGTGAGTGCCCTCTCTGAAGCAGGCACTCTATTTCCCCTACATGGTTAGCACCAATGCTCACAATAATCTTGTGAGTTTACCCCCTCTTTTCACAAAGAGGAAACTGAGGCATGTGTTCAAGGTTACATAGCTAGCAACTGGTGGAGTGGAGATTAGCATCTGGGCTGAATAATTCCAGACACGTGACGTAGTTATGCTTTAGGATGGCACCTTTGGCCACAAGTCAGAAGACACTGTAGGTTCATGGTTCACTTTTGAAATTAGGCTTTTCTTCTCTTGTTTACACTTTTCTGTTCTGAAATTCCATTCATCTCTTCTAACATTTTAGCTCTTATAAAATCATGGAGTGGCTCCCCACCCCACAGTCACTACAGTAACTAGTCCCAGCCAGGCAGGGAGCAGAGAAAGCAAGAGCTCCTTTTGGAGTTACATGCTGGATAAAGATAATGTCTCTCTTTTGCCTATGCCCTGAGGTTGTTGAAGGCACAGAATGAAGTTTTTTAAATTCAAACAAACAAACAAAAATTTAAAATGTCCAAACTGCCATTTTGAATTCAAAGTCTTTTGCATCCAGACACCAACACTGACTTATAAACAACCCCAGGAGCAAAACTCTGCTAGACAGGCAGGGCTTCTGTGGTGTTTATTCACCTACTTTCCTATGAACCCTGTCCAAGGAACAGTTGTTATCAAGATCTTGCCTGGAATGAGCAGCCAGTTCAAAAGCTCTGAGCAGGAGACTATAAATAAAACAGAGTTATTTGGTGTAGGGCAAAGCTGGCTGCTTTTCAAAGGAGGTTGTAGCCATCCTGGCCACAAAAATGTCTGAGTGCCTGCTGGGTGGTGGTGGTGGTGGTGGTGGTGTGTGTGTGTATGACAGAGGGGGAGACTGGATGGGGAGGGCTATATATCTGTCCAGGTGGCCTCTGAGACTGCAGGGTGGTCTGGGGAGAGAGCATTGAACTGGGAGTTAGGAGCCTGGCTTCTAATGCTAGCTCCATCACTGACTAGCAGAGAGATTTTAAGCAAATGGTTAGACAACGATCTGCTTCAGTTTCCTCCTCAGTAGAATGGGTAGAGAGCTCAAGGAGGAGCTCACATCATAAGAGAGAGTGTGATGGAGGAATTAAGAGGGCAGGCTCTGGAGCCAGACTGCCTGGGTTCAAATCACAGCTCTGTCTCTTACTAAATATGTGCCTTTGGGTAAGTTATTCCCTTTCTCTGTGCCTCAGGTTCTTTGTCTGTAAAATGGAAATGGTGGTAATGGCTCGGTGGCATGGGAATTTAATGAGTTAATGACACTTACAAAGTACGTAAACAGTGACTAATATATACTAAGCCCTCAAAAATTATCAGCAACTATTATATGCAAGACACTTAGCACAGTTTGGCTTCTATTATTAATAGTAATAATCTTCATAATAAATAGTCCTGTACTTGAATTCAGTAGACCTGAGTTCCCAGCCCAGGATGTAATTGTTTACATTCTAAAACAATTAGAAGTCAGTTCAACTGTGAATGATAGAAGACTGAAATAACAGTGGCTGAAAAAAATAGAAGTTTATTTCTCTTTCACATAAGGTCAGGAGATGAACATTCCAGAGCTGGTATGACAATTCCATAAATCATACTCTAAGGTTTGAAGGCATATCAACAGGACAGGGCAGCTGATTTGGTCTTGGGCTGGTGTTTATTCTGCATTAGGTTGTAAACGTGTCTTCTGTTCCTCAGACTGTGACCTCTTTGAGGTTGGTTAGCCAGAATTCTACTTTCTTGCTCCCCTATTCTCCAGATGCAGCTTCCACCTCATGGTCCAAGATGGCTGCTTGAACTACCTTGCCTTCTAATCTGTGACCAAGCCAAAGGAAAGGAAGGCGGTCATGCCCCACCCCAAGCCCTAATCTTTAAGTACATTTCCCTGGAGTTGCACCTACTGCCCCATTTACATTCCATGGGTCAGAACTTAGTTATACAACCACATCTCACTAGGAAATATAGCCTTTATTTCAGAAATCATGTGCACAGCTGAAGCCGGGGTGGGTGGTGTATTTCCAGGGAAGAAGGGGAGTACAGACATTGCAATCTCAGCCAAACCATGCTTGGCTATGTGACCTTGGACAAGCCCCTGACTTTCTCTGGCCCTCAGTTTCCCTATATCCAAAGTAAGAGATTCAGGCAGATGACCTCTCTCCAAAGTCCTTTTCAGTTCTCTAATCAGTAGGTTACTGTTTTATAATTCCTTTACACCTAGGTGAATCTGATGTCGTTCAAACGAAAGACCTCTCTGCCAAGTACGTGGCAGAATCAACTGTTGTAATTAAAACCTGCTGGTGATGAGAAGGGGTTTAGGAACTTTACCTTCTAGACTACTGTCAGAATAGGCTAACTAAGCACATCTAGCAGATGAAAAGTCCAACAGTGTGTGTGATACCACCCATGCAGACACTGATGCTCCTGGGTTTCCAAGCTGGCTCTCACTCCTCTGTACCTGTTTGGTTTTTCTGCTCAGGATTTAAAGGATTGTCTATTGAGGGGAGAAGAGCAACCCCAAGGAGTTTTAATACCCCACTAATGATACAGTATGAAACGGCAGGACTGCTGGGCCAGTGGTCTATTATTCCTAGTATACTTAGTTGTGATTATATATTTTTTTAATTGAGATATAATTTACACATCATAAAATTCACCATTTTAATGTGTACAATTCAGTGGTTGTTAGCATAGTCACAAAGTTGTGCAACTACCACCAATGTCTAATTCTAGAACACTTCATCCCCAAAAGATACCCTGCACCCATTAACAGTCACTCACCTTTCCTGCCCTCCCCTGAGCCCCTGGCAGCCATGAATCTACCTTCTGCCTCTGTGGATTTGCCTCTTCATACAAGTGAAATCATTTAATAATATGGCCTTTCTGTCTGGCTTCTTGTACTTAATATAATATTTTCAAAGTTCATCCATGTACCATCTATCAGTACTCCATTCTTTTTTATTGTGTAATAATATTCTATTGTATGGATAGGCCACAATTTGTTTGTGCACAATTGTTATTGATGGATATTGGGGTTGTTTCCACTTTTTGGCGATTATGATTCCTATGATTATTTTTGTGTGGACATATATTTTTAATTCTCTTGGGTGTTGTGGTTATATTCTGCAGGAAGAATCCACAGCTCAATTAAATAGGGGTGCTGCTCCCCTCACCCAAAAAAGGAGGGGTATGTAATGAGGTAAATTTGGGATATGCAGAATCATACCAAGTTAAATGAGTTTCTTTACTGAACTTTTCGGGAACTTTCAGGTTGGCAAAGTGCATTGTGGATCGCCTAAGAGGTGAATGTAGGCAATACATACCAGTCATTAAGAGAACCAACTCTGGAATTAGGCAGACCCAACTTGCTAGTTGAGTGAACTTGGAGAAAATTAAACTCTCTGAGCCTTAGTTTCCTCATCTTTAATAAGGGGATTATAATACCCACCTCATGAAGATGAAATGAAATAAAGAATGTAAGATTCCTGCTTTATATTTGGTATTTAATAAATGAGATTATTGTTCTTGTTTTGTTTTTTTGTTTGTTTCTTTTTGGCCTTGTCGTGCGGCTTGCAGGATCTTAGTTCACTGACCAGGGATTGAACCAGGGCCCACAGCAGTGAAAGTGCTGAGTCCTAACTGCTGGACCGCCAGGGAATTCCTGAGATTATTCTTCTTCTAAACTGTCATATTGATAAAGACAGGAAAAATATCAGCTTGTCCATATCTAGACCTCACCATCTAGTACAGAGCCTGGCATGCAGGCAGTGACTAATAAATACTGAATTATTTACTCATTTGAGGCACATTTCCTAAGAATAATAAGCCTCAGAACAAGATTTGGTACTAATTTTTTTCTTAAATTTGAACTTAGTAAACTGAATTAGTACATCTTTACCTTCTATTTTTCATATTTTCTTTTTTACATTGTGGTAAAATATGCATAACATAAAATTTACCACTTTAACCATTTTTAAATGTACAGTTCAGTGGTAGTATGTATATTCACATTATTATGCAACTATCACCATCGCCCATCTCCAGAACTTTTTCCAAAATCGTCCTAAACTGAAACTTACCTATTAAACAATATATCCCATTCCTCCCGCCCCCAGCCTCTGGCAGTCACATCCTGCTTTCTGTCTCTATGGA